GAGGAAGAGAGAGGTAGTGAGAGAGAAGAGAGGTAGTAAGAGAGAGAGGTAGAGAGAGGTAGTAAGAGAGAGGTAGTAAGAGAGAGAGGTAGTAAGAGAGAGAGGTAGAGAGAGGTAGTAAGAGAGAGAGGTAGAGAGAGGTAGTAAGAGAGAGAGGTAGTAAGAGAGAGAGGTAGAGAGAGGTAGTGAGAGAGAGAGGTAGAGAGAGGTAGTAAGAGAGAGAGGTAGAGAGAGGTAGTAAGAGAGAGAGGTAGAGAGAGGTAGTAAGAGAGAGAGGTAGAGAGAGGTAGTAAGAGAGAGAGGTAGAGAGAGGTAGTAAGAGAGAGAGGTAGAGAGAGGTAGTGAGAGAGAGGAAGAGAGAGGAAGAGAGAGGTAGTAAGAGAGAGGTAGTGAGAGAGAGAGGTAGTAAGAGAGAGGTAGTAAGAGAGAGAGGTAGTAAGAGAGAGGTAGTAAGAGAGAGGTAGTAAGAGAGAGGTAGTAAGAGAGAGGTAGTAAGAGAGAGGTAGTAAGAGAGAGGTAGTAAGAGAGAGAGGTAGTAAGAGAGAGAGGTAGTAAGAGAGAGGTAGTAAGAGAGAGGTAGTAAGAGAGAGAGGTAGAGAGAGGTAGTAAGAGAGAGAGGTAGAGAGAGGTAGTGAGATAGAGGAAGAGAGAGGTAGTGAGAGAGAGGAAGAGAGAGGTAGTGAGAGAGAAGAGAGGTAGTAAGAGAGAGAGGTAGAGAGAGGTAGTAAGAGAGAGGTAGTAAGAGAGAGAGGTAGTAAGAGAGAGAGGTAGAGAGAGGTAGTAAGAGAGAGAGGTAGAGAGAGGTAGTGAGAGAGAGGAAGAGAGAGGTAGTGAGAGAGAGAGGAAGAGGAAGTAGTGAGAGAGAGGAAGAGAGAGGTAGTGAGAGAGAGGAGAGAGGTAGTGAGAGAGAGGTAGAGAGAGGTAGTAAGAGAGAGAGGTAGAGAGAGGTAGTGAGAGAGAGGAGAGAGGTAGTGAGAGAGAGAGGAAGAGAGAGGTAGTGAGAGAGAGGAAGAGAGAGGTAGTGAGAGAGAGGAGAGAGGTAGTGAGAGAGAGAGGAAGAGAGAGGTAGTAAGAGAGAGGAGAGAGGTAGTGAGAGAGAGGAGAGAGGTAGTGAGAGAGAGAGGAAGAGAGAGGTAGTGAGAGAGAGGAAGAGAGAGGTAGTGAGAGAGAGGAGAGAGGTAGTGAGAGAGAGAGGAAGAGAGAGGTAGTAAGAGAGAGGAGAGAGGTAGTGAGAGAGAGAGGAAGAGAGAGGTAGTGAGAGAGAGGAAGAGAGAGGTAGTGAGAGAGAGAGGAAGAGAGAGGTAGTGAGAGAGAGGAAGAGAGAGGTAGTGAGAGAGAGAGGAAGAGAGAGGTAGTGAGAGAGAGGAGAGAGGTAGTGAGAGAGAGGTAGAGAGAGGTAGTAAGAGAGAGAGGTAGAGAGAGGTAGTGAGAGAGAGGGTAAGAGAGAGGTAGTGAGAGAGAGGAGAGAGGTAGTGAGAGAGAGGAAGAGAGAGGTAGTGAGAGAGAGGAGAGAGGTAGTGAGAGAGAGAGGAAGAGAGAGGTAGTGAGAGAGAGGAAGAGAGAGGTAGTGAGAGAGAGGAGAGAGGTAGTGAGAGAGAGAGGAAGAGAGAGGTAGTAAGAGAGAGGTAGTAAGAGAGAGAGGTAGAGAGAGGTAGTAAGAGAGAGGTAGTAAGAGAGAGAGGAAGAGAGAGGTAGTGAGAGAGAGGAAGAGAGAGGTAGTGAGAGAGAGGAGAAAGGTAGTGAGAGAGAGAGGAAGAGAGAGGTAGTAAGAGAGAGGTAGTAAGAGAGAGGTAGAGAGAGGTAGTAAGAGAGAGAGGAAGAGAGAGGTAGTGAGAGAGAGGAAGAGAGAGGTAGTGAGAGAGAGGAGAGAGGTAGTGAGAGAGAGAGGAAGAGAGAGGTAGTAAGAGAGAGGTAGTAAGAGAGACAGGTAGAGAGAGGTAGTGAGAGAGAGGAGAGAGGTAGTGAGAGAGAGACGTAGAGAGAGGTAGAGAGAGAGAGAGAGAGAGAGAGAGGGGGGGGGGTAGAGAGAGGTAGTGAGAGAGAGAGGTAGAGAGAGGTAGTGAGAGAGAGAGGTAGAGAGAGAGAGAGAGAGAGAGAGAGAGAGGTAGAGAGAGGTAGTGCAGGTAGTCCCGACTGTAGTGCGCTTCGGTTCTGCGTTTACTTTTCGGCGCGGTACTACTAACCGGAGCAAAGAGATGCAAGAGTAGTTTGATTTCTAACATTATTCTCTTAACAGACATTTACATCGATAGTCTGGCCTTATCATTTATTTGCGTTTGGTGTACTGTGGAGTGGGTAAAACTGTTTTTAATGGCAGGCTAGCAGTTACCGTTGACTCACGCTAGCCTAGCACCGGCGAACTATGCAACTGGAACGACTGGATGAAAATTTTTGAAAACTGTCTCTGATAAATAACACTAACGCCGCCTTCACACTGGCAGTTGAAATCAGCTCCGTAATACGCAATACGCCCCCAACGGACTTCGTACTAAACAGTGAAAAGCGTCGGAAGCGGGTAGAACAAAAATGGCGGAGAGATTAGAAAGGTTGATTCTGTCAGTTCTATATGATCTATGATGAGGGTTATAGAGATATTAATAGGAAGGCTGCTGCGTGAGGAAAGTTGCTCAGGACGTTGACATGTCAGGTCGGCTAAAAAATGTGATATAGTGGTATAATTTATACCAATGTCACATTTAGTTCGATGTCTGCCTACAATTTAACTGTATTAACTGCCCTAATAACGTTAGCAAATCATGAAAATAAAAAAATGACATGACAACTTATGTTATAAAATCATTATTTGTTTTATTAAAAGTTAAGAATTCAGGTTTGTTTATCAGTATCATAGCAACGCTAACTTCCGCTGGAATTGTCGGATAGGAACCGTCCGTAGCTTTTCGCAAGAGTTCAATTTTTTGAACGCATCCGGATGACCAACGGACACGATTTGCTTCGCACCGCACTCGGTCGGACCCATTTCGGACCCATTCGCATGCGGCCTGCGAATCTCCATAGGAAATGAATGACTTCCGGTCGTTTCGGAGCCGTATCGGAGCTGATTTCAACTGCCAGTGTGAAGGCGGCGTAAGGCTAACTTGGAAATGAGGCCCGATGTCCAAAATCCCGAACCACCCCTTTAAGACTTTTTCCATCAATCATAATTTAGTTTATCATGAACATTTTCCACACTTCTTTGCTATTGTACCTTTAAAACTTTGTTAGGTTAGTGACCCCTGTTGTGATACATGTTTATATACTAATTGATCGGTAAAATCTGTGTGAAGAGAAGCAAATATTATAACAGAATTTTGTTTTGTTTTAGGACGGCGAACTATTCCTTTAACGCAGTAGCTGTCGTGTCATGATAGGATAGGAAAGAAAGGGTTATTGTTAAGAGACTGACATGTCAGTCACTGCAATTATCTGTGATAGACCTCAGTGTCTCATTTATTCTATCATGACAGTCAATATCTGTACAAGTAATGACTCAAGCATTATTGCAGATCATTTGTGTGCCTCCTGATAGTTATAATAGTTATTGGTTATGATAGCGTGCATTATGATAACAAGCATCTGTTTGCCTCTATAATTATACACGGCGCAATCTGATTAGATGAGTTGCTCCAAATGGTTTATGGATAATAATTGGCCTGACTCAGTAGAGTCGCTTTACTCACAATGATAGCATGGGCTAGATTAGCCATCATCTAATACCAAGTGAACACAGTCATTATTTCTGTCAAGTTGTTGGGGATAGTGATATGCATTGAAATTTTTTTTAATAATACTTTATTTTACAATTAATAATTAAAATATATTTTTAATACATTTAATAAAAATATAAATAAAAATATATATATCTTAAAATTGGGTATAAAAATATATATATATATATATATATATATATATATATATATATATATATATATATACACACATTATACAAATAACAAATATAGAACATAAAAAATATATCATATACCTGGGTTACTTTTTCAAATGTGTAATGGGGACAAATTGCAGAAGAGCTACAATAATGTACGTTATTTTTAAGGTGAAGTAGCCTATATAATTGTTTTCTTTCATGTTGCACATAGAAAAGTAAAAATAAATGTGGAAATAAATGCATATATAAATATAAAAATAAATGAAAGAATAAATACAGAATTTTTTATTTATATATATATATAACTAAATAATATAAATAATAATATAAATTATAAATAAATTATAAATAAATATAAAAATAAATGAAATAATATATATATTCTTTCATTTATTTTTATATTTACCGTAAAACTTCAAATAGTAGCCCGGGCTTTTATTTTCCCAAATCGTCGAACTGCACCGGCTTGTATTTGAGACAGGCGTCTATATGAGACAGGCCTTTATAATTTAGTGTTGAGATGTTGTTCATTGAGTGTATAGGCCTGTCTCTAATCTCTAAAAATCTCCAAATGCTCCACGTGAAACTGCGGTCTTCCGACCTTTTACTATCGCGTCAATTGAAGACAGCGCTCGTGTTTTTTGAAGACGTGAGAGTGCGTGCGCGCGCGCGGCCGGGGCTCTCTCTCTCTCTCTCTCTCTCGTAACGCGCCCTGTCAAGCGCAGCAGTCATTCTATTCTACATCACTGATCGATCAAAAAAGGCTTTGGAGGGACAAAAATGTACTTTGGCGGCCGCCAAAAAGCGGTCAATCTGACGGTTTTAGAGGATTGAATACAACCCGAAACTAAAAAACAGACCCGGCCTCTATTTGAGACCGGCCTTTATTTACCCAAACCTGCAGCCACACCAGGCGTGTAAAAGAGACAGGCGTCTATTTGGGACTGGGCTATTATTTGAAGTTTTACGGTATTTATTATTTATATTATTTAGTAGGCCTATATAGAATTCAGGATTAAATGCAATTTAAAAACAATTATATGTGTTTAATCAAGTCATTTATTTGTTTTTGATTTCTGCAGGTTTGTTGCTGTAGTGTGTGTGTTCTCACCTGGCTAGCACCTCGACGTTAGAAATGGCGTAGAAGTATTTGAGCAGGTTGTCTCTCTGGACGTAGGTTCCTCCGAGCGCGGGCCTGAGGAGCCGGAGCCTGAGATTGGTGAACGTGAAGAAATCTCGCAAACCCTTCATGCTCTCCATCCGCGTGTACAAGCCCTCCATGTTCAGCAGCCTGGGGCCGGCGAAGGTGGCGAAGCGCGGGCGCACCTCGAACCGCACCACCTTCTCGTTCTTGGAGCCGACCCAGCGGGAGAACTGCTCGGTGCAGATGACGCGCGTGGCGTTCGCTGCGTTCAGGTCGCGCACGCGTCTCGGCGACATGTTGAAGGCGTCCACGCAGTCGTCGGCGTAGTACTGGAAGGGCTGCCACGTGCGCCCGAAGTTCAGAGACTTCTCCAGCACCATGACCGTGGGTCGGCCGTACTCGAAGGTGATCTGGATGTCGTCCGTGAGTTCGAGGGTCTTGTTCCAGGACAGGGTGATGTTGGCCTGGAGAGGCTCCGGGTAGCGCTGCCACGTGGCCGTCTGCCAGTACGTGATCAGGCCGCTGCGCTCGCGGTCCTGCATCAGCTGCGGCGGGTGAGCCAGGTCAGGGTTAGACGCGTCGCATTCATCACTGCACAGGTACGGGTTCTCCTGCACACACACACACACAGCCAGGACACTTTTTATAGATAGAATATCTACTTGAAACGAACTGAATGTAATACTTTCAGACTCTTAATTGCAATTAAAATTATATGTATTATAGATTAAATTTGCATTAAAGGTATAGGACATTTTTAATTAATGTACTATATTTTAGATTGATAATGTTTTTTTTTTATGCTTTGCATTTTTAGGGTATTTTATGGTACTGAATTATATTTACGCTGTATTTATGACTCATTTATTCACTTTTTGAGCATAGACCTGAAAATCTGATTTCCGACTTAAACTGTGGTAAATCTTGAATGCTTCAAAGCAACAGACTTCAGTTTGATCTCTTTTCAAAGATGACGCTTGGCAGATTATTGCTGAAGTGAAAAAAGTTTTTAAAAAGTTACAGAATTTATATGAAATATGTATTTTCAAAAACTGAATGTTTTACTCTAAAACTGTGAGAAAATCAAAGAAAATCATATTTATTATATGTATTATAGTTTAAATTTGCATTCAAGGTATAGGACATTTTTAATTAATGTACTATATTTTAGTTTGATAATGTTATTTGTTTTATGCTTTGCATTTTTAGGGTATTTTATGGTACTAAATTATATTTACGCTGTATTTATGACCCATTTATTCACTTTTTTAGCATAGACCTGAAAATCTTGAATGGTTCAAAGCAACAGACTTCAGTTTGATCTCTTTTCAAAGATGACGCTTGGCAGATTATTGCTGAAGTGAAAAAAGTTTTAAAAAGTTACAGAATTTACATGAAATATGTATTTTCAAAAACATGTTTTACTCTAAAACTGTGAGAAAATCAAAGAAAATCATATTCATTCATTCAATTAAATGAATATGTATTATAGTTTAAATTTATATAAAAGGTAGGGTAGGAATTTTTTTAATATAAACTTTTGTTATACTGGTTGAAACTCTCTGCACATCCTGATAGCAATCATTAATAGAAGTGTATGTTTATGGACCACAAGTGTCCAAAATTTGCATTATTTTTGATTTTCTTCTTTTGAGAGATATTAAAATATGTTAACTTTTAAATGCAATATCGAAAAGTACACAATACAATTTGTGTATTCAACAGCACATTCAATACAATTAAGCACACTTATTTTTCACAAAGGCAGACAGTGTTCAGACAGGAGATGTGATAGAGAGATAGATTGATTGATTGATTGATTGATTGATTGATTGATTGATTGATTGATTGATTGATTGATTGAGGGATTGAGGGATTGGTTGATTGAGTTATTGAGTGATTGATTGACAAAAAGAGATAGAGACAGGTAGAAAGTGTGTGTGATGCACAGAAAAGGAAGGGATTAATATTGTGAGTGAGACAGATTGTAAACTCACAAACACTTGTCATTGTAAAACTACAGTGAAGAAGTCGTGGGCTTTTATTAAAAGAAAAGACTGCAGGGAGTGTTGATCTGTGAGCGCAAACTCCTGCTACACACACACACACACACAAGCACATCATTAAAAATCTGGGTCAATTCTATCAGCTTTCTTTATAAAATCACACAGTGGATGATCATCTAACAATAGCACATGCTAACACAGCTGCGTTCAGGTATGACGGCTTTGAATCTGTCTATTGAGCATGTGTTCAGTATCTGTGTGTGTTGTACACACCTCGACAGAGAAATACACGCACACACACATGCCTCATAAGAGAAGTTTGAACAGCACAGTGCATCTTGGGAAATACATCAACTGATTTATGAAGTCAGGCACACAGAGAATAAAAAATAAATTAAAGGGGAGATAAAACAAAGTGCGTGTGTGTAAGAGAAAGACAGAGAAAGAATAAAGAGAGGCGGTAAAATGATAAAGCCTCGCCGAATCTAGTTTTACTCAAACTCACAGTTTGTCTGTATAAAATAGAATTACAGATGTACAGATAATCAGTTTGACTGATGTTTTTTTTACTGTTATTCATACTTTTCAACATTTTCAACAGTAACCAGAATTAATGTGTCGTTTGGATAATTAACTTTTAACATAACAGCCATTCATTCTCAAGTAATATTGCTTAATTATAGTTTATTGATTTACAAAATGCTGTTGCACAAATAATAATAACTTTGCCCGAATATGATGTAAACATAATTTATAATAATAGTTATTAAGCTATTTATATATATTAGATGTATATTTGTCATGTTTGTGCAAAGTTACACTATGCTGTTACCGGTCAATAAAAAAGTATTTGAAAGGAATTCATATTTGTATTCAGCAAGGACAAAAATGTATATAAAGTGACAGTAAAGACATTCATAATGTTATATTATTATTATTATTTTTATACCTAAAAATCTGATATCTCATTGACTTGCTAATAACATCCTCTTGCATATTTTTCAAAAATGTTATGTCCAAAAACCTGCAGCATCCAATCAGATCGAACTTTTTGTCCGCTTATGCAACACGCATGTTTAGCAGCTTCTGCTTGACCAATTCCAGTATGTAATGTGCAATGCTTGGCACTGGGTGCAGTTCTGTCAGATATATTGCATTATCCCATTAAGTTGCTATTAAGTGTCTACAACAAAACTCATTTGATGCCACAGACCTTGTGCAGTTTGGAACATTCAGTGACTAGTTATTCTTCTGGGGTTGTGCAGGTCAAATTGTACATCTTAAACCTTTCAGACACACATATACAGTCCACTAATTCTGTTCTGACTGATGGTCTGACTCTTTGCTCCCTCCAGTAAAGGGGTTTAATGTTACCCTCTTCCCCAGGATCACATTACAGCTCCGTTCTTACAGGCCTCGACGCTGCCACTCTTTCTATTCCCCTCTATCTCTCTTTTAATCCAATGTTTCTTCTCTCTCCTGTAATATTATTGGAGAGAAACCTCTGCAGACATCATCATGATCCGACTTGACTTCAACATCTGCACACACATGCACGCACGCATTCAAGCACGCAAACACACTCTGACCCCTGACACGCTAAAGCTATAGTTGGATTAAGGAAGAGAATGTTACACAGAAACCTTCAACCCCCAAATCCACTGAAACCCAACCCTCTGACACACTTAGTGCGACTGACAGCATGATGTGTGTATCTGAGTCAGCTTTTGTTTATATTGCAGGGACCAAATGTCCCCAAAATGATAGTAAAACCTGAAATCACCTACATTCTGAGGCTCTGCCAACGGCTCCCATGAGAATAACAGCTTAATTAACATGCTAAATAATGAAAATATAACAACACGGAATGTTTTCTGTGAGGGGTAAGTTTAAAGCAGGGTATAAAAATATCATTAGTACTATTTTTATCAAAACTATAGAAGTCAAAGATAAACTCTGACTGTGTGTGCATGTGTATTTCATCGATGTGTGTGTGTTTGGGTTTTCGCATGCTTGTGTGCATGTATTGGCAATGCTTGTGTGTATATGTGCATGTATTTACATGCTTGTACAGTATGCATGCATGTGCTTGCATTGCAAATGTGCATACGTGTGCTTTTTTGCATGGATGTATGTGCATGTGTGCATGTCTACATGTGAGTTTGTGCATGCATGAATGAATGCACGTGTGTTTCTGCTGTCTACGAGACACGGTTTTAATATTATAATCCAGGATCAGGTTTCCTCACTAATGAGTTTTGTCCATGTTTTAGCCATGACCATGGCCCAATAATGCATGTGGCAAAGATGCAAAACTAGCATGTTTAAATCCTTTTCAGACAATCCCATCCTCCTGCCCCATATAAACACACACACACACACACACACACACACACGGCCAACTGTTCCAGCAGGTGTCCCACATCACTAAGCTCCTAGAGCAATTATCCGCGTTGGAATCCCGTCGCTGCGACAACAATCAGCATGGAGCTAGATCCCTGTCACAGCGTCCATATAGCAGCCTGTTAAACCAACCAACTGGGACATTACATCACCGTTACACTGGGACTTTACCTACACCATCTGCATCCCATGCAATCTGTAGAGTACAACATCAGTATTGTAAAATCGGTTAATCTGTCTTACTCTTTGTCGTCTCTGTGGATTTATATACCTTTAGACCTTCTTATTGTAAGTGTGTGTGTGTGTGAGTGAGTTATAGCGGTCTTTAAGAAACTGAGAACACAATGTGAGCCCCATTTGGTTTACGAGAACATCACTAAGAATACAACACTCTGAGGAATAGTGTACTTCTGTTCCAAAGCCTAGTCTGTTCTCCATGACTGTAGTCAACATAGGCAGCTTCCTGATTCCTGACTGAGCTGGAACGTCATGAGATCCCCAGATGGACCTTTTTTTTTTGTATATTCTGTGCCTTTCAGAGATAAAATGTGTTAAACGGAGCTGACAGCACTGCAGTCTTATTGATGGCTAAAAGTCTAATTAAATGATTACATTACACGAAATATTTAATCAACAAATAGACAAGGGGTGTTGGATGTGAACTTGCATGAATAGCACATGACTGTATCTTAGAAGGCACAATCTTCTTCTTTTTTTTGCTTACTATTTAGAGCAACATGCATGCTGAGAGCACAGTTCTGATTTCTTAAAATGTTGTCTATTTAGGCAGCTCACTAGGATTTCCAACAGAGCTTAAAAGAGAAGTGTGTCATTTTTTGAATGTTATACGTTTCCTGCACTGCTGAATCCTCAGCATTATTAAAATAAAAAAATACGTTGAATGTGAGTATGCAGTTTGAATGCATTGTAATAGCATAAAAAATGTCTTTCTATTGATGCTTAAAGGACAAATGATTCGTTTGAGCTGATTCTTTTAATGAATCCTTCATGAAGACTCACAAACGTATAGAAGTTACTGAATATATATATTTTATTATTATTATTATTTATTGTAGATGTGGTGATTGGAGTGAGCAGGACTATTATTTTTGCAGTGTTGTTTTAGGTATAGAAATATACAGTACATTTATCTGATTTAAATAGAAAGCATAAAAATAATGAATTAGCAAACAGATCTGCAA